CCCAAACACCAAATTTTAAACACCAAAAATATTTAACGGGTATTTTACAAGATGGTCAACCTGACCTATCCTAACCTAGATGTAAGGCCTTAATTACGTTTTGTACGCAGTTATTTGACCCTCCATTTCCCACATGCGGCGTTACACTCGGTGACGACTGAAAGGGTCTATTTAGGCATCTTCACTTTCGTTCCAGTGCCTCATCGGAAAGTAGGGTGTTAAAAATGGAGCTGCACTCTCACTGAAAACTGAAAGGTAAAATTCGCACCTCAGATTGAAGAGAATCGAACTCGAACCTTCGTAGCTGTTAAAATCATTGTCATAATTTTCGTCATGAAGTGGCGAGAACGCGTTTCCATATCATTTAGGGTGTCTTACAATGAAATTTGACCCATATCATTCTTATGTTACGGTGAATTTGGCGCAAGCAGAATACGAAGCCATATTCCTTCGTCATACGAATCTGTTTAACTATTCATTAAAAGATACAAAGAAAAACCTTCGTAATACGAAGAAAAACCACCTTCGTATTATGCTTGCGCCATTTCCTTCGTATTATGGGAAATTTCTTCGTAAGACATTTTGAGTGCTTACCACGAAACGGTAAGACAAATTCTCAGCGAAAATTGGCCAGAAATTTCTACCTTTAATTTTCAGTGCTATACGTGTATACCTCTTTGTATCCGAACTCCAGTACGGCGATGGCGAACCAAATGTCAGCGAGTGCAATGAAGAGGTACTGAGGCAGCTGCCACAAGATGTGAACCTGCGATCAAGTAAAAAACCACCTGCATTATTGAGCCTATTCTTCAAAATTTTTGATGATAACGGTGAACATTCTTTGCTTTTGACTTCAATGAGGTTTGCACTTTACGGACAGTTTTGTGCGGTGGTACGGGCAACTTGTGCATACGTGAAATCAGCATAATATCATGCGTAAAACTGCATAAATTTATGTGGGTCTAGGACAATTCGTCCCCGAAAATCGGTCCCCGGACTATTCGTACCCCTCATTTCGTCCCCGGGACAATAGGAACCCCACACTGTTAGTCCCCAAATATGACTGGTCCCTAGACAATTTGCCCCTAAATAATGTTTTTCAGAATTTCGTTTGTTTACTTCAAAACTTAAAGAAAGAACAGGTGCAGTCAAAGATTTTTATATACTCTCCGTCACGTTGTGGCCGATGGCGCGCAGGTAGCACAGGATGTCGTCTGCCTCGTGGTAAGTGTCGTAGCGATCTACAACACTCCTACACACTAGTAGCCAACGAACGTGACGGCACGTTCGTATTCACGTGATAACGGCGATGTTGGTTTAAGCGTGACAAACGGCGAAAATTTACAGACAAACGAATGTGACATACGGCACCGCTTTGTCACATTACTCCGGGTGTGACACTCAATCAGCTGGAGAACTGTCAAATTAAAACGCACGTACTGTGACATTCGTCGTAATATGACATGCTCAATTTTTCCTGTTCCTTTGAATGTGACACGCCATGATTGTCGGATTATGGGGTGTCACGTTCGATTGAATGTGACAGTTCGGGCATGTCACATTGGAACGAATGTGACAGTTCACGTGTGTCACATTCGTTTGGATGTGACACGACATAAATCAAGAGGTACCATGCGTCACATTCGTGGTAATGTCTTGGTCCGGCATGGGGACTGTCCCGGCTGGGACCATTCTAAAAACGGGGACACGTTTGGGGACCAATTTGAAAGGGGGACCAATTATAGCGGGGGCGAATCGTTTGCGGACCCAAAAGTCCTTGGGACGAATTGTCGGGGACGAATTGTCCGGATCCCATTTATGTAAATTCTAGCACAATTGTAAGCACGACGGTACACAGGTTTAAAATTATGCATCACCATACGTCAAAAATTGTACATGACCATTTCGTGTGTGGATTTGTATCGTACAGTACTGAGAATCAGCTTAAGATTGCACGGTGTTTCTCAGTACGTACGAAATTGGGAGTGTAGGACGCGTCGTTCACATTTTTAACCCTACAAAGAGCACTCTTCGTAATGCAAAGAAAACGGAGGCTTCGCAGCTCACGAAGGAAATCGTTTGTACATAATTCAAACGATTTCGTTTGAAATACAAAGGAAAACTTCTTTACAGGCTGCAAAGAAGTTCTTTGTAAGCTACAAAAGGATTTTTCCTTTGAATTAGAAACAATATCGTTTAGACGATTTCCTTCGTGGGCTGCGAAGCCTCCGATTTGTTTGCAGCTACAAAGAACCACGTTCTTTGTAGGAATTTGTCTGTGTTGACTCCCTCGTTGTTCCCCACCTGGCCGAAGCTCCCCGCCGCGTCCGCCTGGCGGTCCACGTTGAGCTGCAGCACGGCGGCGCACAGGAAGGCCGCGGCCGCCATGAGTCCGCCCACACTCATGCGCTGCAGCGGCGTGGCCAGGACGCGCCAGCGCGCCAGGAACGGGTGCAGCCACGCCTCGAAGCAGGGCAGCAGCAGCAGCACCAGCAGCCCGCCCGACAGCTGCATCTGGTCGGGCTGCAGCCGCCAGCCGCCCACCGCGCCGTCCAGCTGCCGCGCCTGGAGAGACACGGCGGTGCGGGCCGCGATTATAACACGCTGAAAACCTGTACTGTATTGAATTTATTTATGGGTAATTTCAAAGCTACAGCCTATCAACATATCGTCACAACTTCCTGCCCTTTTCAAGGCTATAGGTTATACATAATATTCATTGACCCATGCATTCCTGCATTACCGGTGGCTCACAAGGTCAGGGACGAGGCTCACGCACCTTAGGAAGTACTTTGAGTGTAAGGTACAAACTATTTAGATACCCATTGTCCGTCCGTACCTTTTCCGTACCAAACTGCACTAAGGCAGAAAACTACGGGAAAGTCAGTTAATTTTTTGCCATGGTTCTCTGTACCCAACCCAAAGCCCAACATTTTCCATAGCCTCTTATCAATCTTATCCATAAGACTTCCAGTGCTCTGCGCACGCCCGTTGCAGATGAGGAGAAGACTAAAACCCCTTCAGAGAAGATTGATAAGAAGGCTACGGAAAATGTTGAGTGCTGCAGCACTGACCCCAAAATTAAACAAGGGAAGTGTCTCGGGTGTTACATCCAGATGTTGACCATATTTTGGGGATCACTTGTACTATTAAAAAGATCAGTTTTCCGCATAGAAGTGTTAAAAAATTGGTAGAATTTTCCAAAAAGGAGACTTTTTGGTCCGACTGTTTTTAGAAAACTCAACCTAACTTCTAAAATTATTCTAATATACCTTTGGCAGCAACTTATACGCGGGAAATTATCAAGATGGTCAACATCGGGATAACACCCGAGAAACTTACCTTGCAAGGGAAAACCAGCCTTCTGACTGACAGTGTGGGTCACTGGGTGTGTAGAATGTAGTAAAATGATCACAAGCTGTTAGCAGATTTCTCCGCAACGTTTTGCCTTAGTGCACGGAATGTTTTCCGGGGCAAGCTGCCTACCTGGAACGTCCACCGCGACCCCTGCATGTCGAAGAGGGCCCAGAAGACGGGCAGCGGCACGGCGAGGACCAGCAGCCGCAGCAGCACCTTGACGTCCGCCACCAGGGCCTCGCCGTAGCGCGGCGCCACCGCGTCCAGCCAGTGCGCGTCCTTGGCCTCGCCAGCCTCGCGCGGCGCCCCCCGGCGGAAGCGCCGCCACAGCCCGCTCTGCGGCAAGACACGATCAGTGGTCCAGTCAGGCCGTCGGGAAAACGGCCACATTTTGATCGCCGTATCAAACTCTAAAAGCCCACCAAATTTCATCATGAGGGCGCCCTTCTCTCATGATTTCATGCACACTGAATAGACACTTCTCGCAGGGCCTGGAGTGAAGAACAAGAAGAAGAACATAAGCCGGAAACAGCTGCCATATAACGCTTATTTACTGATGACGCGTGTTTATTCTCAATCCAAAAATTCAAGGAAGCTGAATTTTACAATACAATTTGATTTAACCTGCCAAAACCCCCGAAAAAGGCCGATTTCTTGAACTGTTTCCGGTGCACAGTAAAAACTCTACGAAGAGTCGCTTCGTAATACGAAGAAAATGAAGGCATTGTAAAATCTACGAAGAAATGCTTCGTATTACGAAGCGAAATCCTTCGCAACACGAAGCATTTCTTCATAATACGAAGCAATTCTACAACGCCTTCATTTTCTTCGTAGTTAGCAAATCCTTCGTAGGCTTTAAAGAGTGTGTTCTTCTTCTTGTTCTTTACTTCAGGCCCTGCTAGAAGTGTCTATTGCCACGAAGTTTTTAGTACATAGCTTTTGCTCAGGACTGTGCATGCGCGTGAAACGTACGCACCCTTGCCCAACACTTAGAACCCTGCAAAAGAAACTGCTCTTCGTAATAAAGAAAATGAAGGTTTCACAGCCTACGAAGTAAATCGTTTGTAATACGAGCGATTTTGTTTGTAATACAAAGGGAACTTCCTCGCAGCGTGCGAAGGATTTTTCCTTTGAATTACAAACAAAATCGTTCGTATTACAAACGACTTCCTTCGAAGGCTGCGAAGCCTTCGTTTTCTTTACATTGCAACGAGCAGTTCTTTGTAGTAATTTATCTGTGCAACGCACACTTATGTTACGTGCTTTGTTACGTACAAATTCGTGCATTTTATAACGCATTCACAATTTTGAGCAAAGCTTATGCACAATTAACTACATAGTAATTCAAAGTGTATATTGTCGCGAATTTCCACCTCAAATGACTATCAGTCAGTCATTCCTCGTCTTTTCCTGATGCCGAGTCACGGTGGATTTGCCAGAAGACCAGCGCAGGTGGCCGAAACCCGAGATTGTTTGGACCGCCAGAGTCGCTCTGGCAGGGGCCTAATACTCACCGCAATGCACTTGCTGACTTGCACGAGTATATTTCCTTCAAGATCTTTGGTGACGTACAAACGCTTCCCAGCAACGAACACACCTGTTGAACAATTGAGGAGACAAGACGCCTACATAAAGGCCATGATGGCCAGCAGACTCAGCTAAGTATGCATCTGTAGATGTGTACTTGCAAGTATGCATCTGTACACACTAAATGCCTATGGACTTCATCGGACTTTATGTCCATAACTATGGCCGTATTAGTGCATACTGAAGTTATGTACAAATTTGTACATAAATTAGGTAAGCACAATATGCAAATATTGTTCTTAATTTATGTACAAATTTGTACATAAGTTCTGTATGTACAAAAACGGCCATAGCTATGGACAATAATGTACATAATACATTTAGTGTGTAGACGCATACTGAGTACACACTTCACTTTGTAGAGTGGTTTCACAGCGTACTGACCGCAAAAGAAGACCATGAGCAGGGCGGGCATGCCGAACGCGAGCGGGTAGCACGTGTCCTCGCCGAGACAGGGCAGCGCGCGCACCTCAGGCGTGGCCAGGATAGCCAGAGTGCCGCCCGCGTTGATGATGAAGTAGAAGACGCTGAAGAACTGCTCCAGCTGGCGGCGCTGCTGCGGCAGCGTGAACTGGTCGCCGCCGAACGAGGACACGCACGGCTTGATGCCGCCCGTGCCCATGGCGATGAGCAGCAGCCCGGCACACGTCACGGGCCTGCAAGAGGAGGCACTGGAGGACTCGGCACAGGCGAACGCCCTGAAAGCCTCACAAACTGGGCCTTACAAAGGAGAGCAGCTTGTCATAACACAGTATTTTGAGCATACATAAGCTTACGATTAAAATACTTCGTAATTTGCGAACTATTTCTTCCCATAACAAAGTAAATTCAAAATACTTCGTAATTTGCGAACTATTTCTTCCCATAACAAAGTAAATTCAAAATACTTCGTAATTTGCGAACTATTTCTTCCCATAACAAAGTAAATTCAAAATACTTCGTAAGGGTTTGAGTGTGAAACAGGAAGAAAAGAGGAAGGGGAAGAATCTTCACAAACATGGCGGCCAGCCTCTGCCACGGCAAAAAGGATTCCCAAGCGGCTCCTAGAAAACCCTTTTTTTTTCAAGGTCGGCGAAGGGATCCCAGGCGCTGCTTTTGCTGTGTGATTGGTCCTAGCAGCCGACGCACAGTGGGCCAGAAGATCGGTAGAGGCGGACAAATCTCGAGACGCGTTTTGAGCTCCAGAGTCGCTAAACCGATGGGTCCTCAAAACATATCTGGGCGTTCCCTTCAAGAGAATCTTATCTTCAACGCAGGCGAATTTCACTCATTTTGACCATTTGTTACGGATACGAGAGTAAGCGTAATAAATTGGTTTCTTTGATCTTCCATCTTCAGATAAATGTGAATAAAATCACAAATTATGTTGATTTGTAGCTGTAGCAAATGATCAAACTGAGTGAAATTTGCCTGCGTTTAAAATAAGATTCTCTTGGGGGGAACGCCCAGATAAGATCTTTCCAATAGGACCCCTCGAAACAGGACTCGAACCAAACGTGTGACCCCACCAAAGGATTCTGATCACCCTTGCACAAAATGAAACTGCTGGCGCGGGTGCCCTTAACTCCTGCGAAATTTTGACGAAGTGACTTACAGTCCAGGCAGTCCGAGAGCCCTCCACGAGGCCAGAGCCACCACTACATTCCCAACGGCGTACAGGAGTGAGAGGTACAGGATCGTTCTGCAATGAAAAAGAAATTTAACAGTCAACACGTTGAGCGACCAGATGTCATCTAAAGTTGAATTTTAAAGTGGGTGTCTTGTCAGAGTGGGAATGACACTTAAAGGTATTTCGCCCTTAGAACGTGAAGCCATCCGCCAATGACAAGATATAATTTAGCAGTCAAAGAGCTTCGTCCATTGTCAATTACAAAATTTGAACAGGTTTTAATCTTCACCTCTTTGGAGTCTCTTACGTACTATACAAACTGAAATCGACGAAATTTGTCGGGAACATTTAAGGGGAGGTTCTGGTGAAAATCTTGCTATTTTCCAAATGGATCCAACAGTCATAATTTGTTCGGAATATAAAATTTTTCATTGAGGAGACTAAAATTTGACTTTTGAAGGCACATGCCACGCTGTAAACCCAGTCGAAAAGTCTTTTTGAGCCTATTTTGGCTGTATCTTAAAAAATCTCCTTGCGCATACTATTTTGTCGTAAAAGGTTGACCTTGACATTTTTCACATCTTCGACTCATTTTCAAAAGATTCCGGCATGCAGAGCTCAAAACTTCCATTATAATATTAGTTATTAGCTTTTAAAGCTGAAAAGTCCCTAAAATTTGACTATTTTGTACATTTTTGATCAATTATGGTGAAATGCTTGGTTAGAACGCTTGCGAATAAAAATGCAATTGACATTTTGAGATGTGCATGCCGGCATTTTAAAAAAATGAATCGAAGAAGTGAAAAATGTCTAAGCCAACCTTTTACGACAAAATAGTATGCGCAAGAAGATTTTTAAAGTTATAGCCTAAATGGGAGAAAAAGGCTCTGGGACTGGGTTCAGGGCATAGAATGTGCCTCCCCAATGAAAATTTTTAATAAATACTTGATAAGACATCAAATTTTTAACAAATTTTCACAGTGGGACCTATTTTGGAGAAGATAGCATTTTCACCAGAACCTCCCCTTAAACTTTTGGTCTTCCCTACACTGAGACAAGGTGGTGCCCTGAAACTGACCGACTAAGTCGCCCGCCCCAGTCTTTAGGGCGACTTGAGTCGCCTACTTTCTGGACAACACAGTCGCCTAGTTTCTGGGCGACACAGTCGCCTAGTTTTAGGGCATCTTGGTCGCAAATACAGAGCTTACTTATCTATGCTGGCCCAAGGCATTGCACACAAGTTTGCCTGCACATGGATAAACTCAATGATTTCACATTTGGGTGGCGTCAGAGATGCCCCGAATCTACGCGCAATAGGTGTCCCGAATCTGGGCAGCAGTGGTTTACATAAGGTCGGACCAACCCCAAAGGTGCTCAGGTTGAGGGCGCCTTGGGCCAGCATTCATAAGTAAGCTCTGTATTTACGACCAAGATGCCCTAAAACTACGCGACTGTGTCGCCCAGAAACTAGGCGACTGTGTCGCCCAGAAAGTAGGCGACTCAAGTCGCCCTAAAAACTGGGGCGGGCGACTTAGTCGGTCAGTTTCAGGGCACCACCTTGACTGAGTGTAGGGTCTTAATTTTTTATCCGTTCAATCAAAAGCTTGGTTGATTTGTTAACATCTTTTTTCAACTTCAAATCTTTAGTTGAAGCAACGAAAATAATATTTAATACTTCAGACCAGCAGTCTGAAAATTTTGTTCAGGCGGAACAGAACGTTCTGAATTTGAATTCAGACAGAATAGTCTGAGTAATATGTAAGAATTTTCAGACTAAAATTGCCGAGAGTTAAGTAAATCTTTTCTTTTTCCTTTTAACACTGTACAAATTGGTCTCCCATGTGCGTGATGTTCAGGGCAATGCGAAAAAAAAATCATGACATGCCGACGGTCTTTCAATTGTTTTCCGTTTACCCACACATATAAGGAAGCAGTGAGAACACACGCGCCTAAATTTTCCAAGCCAGGAGTCCGAGATGATGCCGCCGACGATAGGGAAAAGGTAGCACGTCATGTTAAATGCGTGGAACACGATGGTCGCATCGTCCTCGGTGAGGAACAGCTTGTCTTTGAGAAAGAGTACGAGCACCGCTGGAAAAGAAAGGGTACTTAAAACTTCAAATATGCACGTTACACAAACACCAAAAAACAGACTGCTTTCTTAATAGGCAATAAACTAGGATTCGACAGTCAGAAAGAAAGGACAAATAATTTGAAGATAAAAACAAGTGACGTCAGGTCAAGAAAAGTCTGAGAAATGGAATAGTCTAATAAATAGCATTTGTTTCGTAACCACAAAGATAATGAAGGCATTGTACAATTGCTTCGTATTCACTGTTAGAAATTAGCTCCGAAATTTTATGGAGAAAAACTCTATTATCACGTTAATGGAGACTCCGGTCAGTTTTTTTCGGAGAGATTTCCTCAGAGTTTAACGAAATGTTCTTCGGAGCATTACTTGGGTCCTGGTGGGAGGTAAATTGCATGTCTTTTCTCAGATATTTTAAAGAGGGCTTCGCCGAAGCATTCTGGAGTCTGAAATGGCCAAAGAAGGGACAATCTCCTTCGAGCTCATTTGACTTTTATCCTGTACGTTTCCCTGAGCTAAACAAGTAGCCCTCATTGGCTGAGCGATAGCGAAGCCCTTGCCGTGTTTGGGCGCGCTGAAAAGTGACTGGTCGTGCGTCTGTCTGTCTGTTTGTACTCACCAACGATTCTCAGCAACTACAGTGGCTATAGTTTCAAGATTTCGTATTTAACGTCGCCTTAGCACCCCCCAACACGAGTTTGTTTCAAATCGTTGTTTAGTATCGTTTGAAATATTCAAAACATATTTTTGAATCAGGTCATTAGCGTGGTTAGGTTGGCAGCGCCGCGCCGCACAGTGCGGCCGATCCCGAAAAACGCGGACATAAACGACTTTTTCAATTTTGAGCTACAATTGTTTCTATAGTGGGATTCGAAACTAGGATGATTCTTGCGTCTAAAAACAGTTTACTCATATTTTTGCACACCCGAGAACGTCTTCTGTAGCCCTTCAAAGATACGTGTTTTAGCGCCAACGAAAGGGGCAACATAACCTATACATGTTTCCAAAGCTTTTATCAAGTTCCTTGAGCCACCGAAGCAGGCCGCGCAAATGCCCCAGGTACAGCTCGATCCCTCGTCTTTCACGAGCAATAAGGAACTTTACCAATATTTGCAAAATAAGTATTCTAAATTAACTTTTTCCTGGGAGCCCGCGCGTCTTCAAATTCATATAGTTTCGATTGAGATATAAAGTGATTCCCGGGGATTCCCGTCGTTTGGCGCACATCAAATTAAAGCTTGATACTTCCTTGATCGATTCCAACAAAGATTGGGCCCAGCACGCCCCAGCCGCAGCTGTGCTGAGCAAGTATGTTCCTTGATTTCTGCACTTGTCGCCATATTTCCACCTTAGTGGACGGGTCGGTATCGATACAACAATCACAGCAGGGACAGTCAAATTGAGTCTCCTCAAGTTTGGAAGGTCGGTGAATCCGTCCGTGACCGCATTTTTGACAAATCAGGGGCGGAACCAGGAACAAAAAGGGGGGTAAATTTTGAAATTTGACCAAATTGTTTAAAATTTAGTATTGGGGAGTTTTAAGGGTATCTAAATCCATTTTTGGCAATTTTGTTGACCTATCAAGTAAAATGGAACTTTCCCCCCTTTTAACTCCCTGATCCGCCCCTGCTATAGCAAAATTAAGTTTTGAAATGGATTTAGAGACCCTAAAAACCCTCGGGTGCAAAATTTCAGTCTGTTTGAAATACTTTTAAAATTTACCCCCTTTTATATTTCTGGTTCCGCCCCTGCTGTATCAAAATTGAGGTAAGAAATAGAAACAGAGACCCCGCAAACGTATCTGAGCGTAAACTCGTCGGCCCACGTTTGCTAGGAACAGTTTTTTTGAAATATGTCCGTCTTTTTCGAGATCGGCCGCACTGTGCGCCGCTTACCAATTTCTCATACCTGCGGGTCCGCGGCTCTCAAATACGGGACATAAGCAAATAAGCAAATAAAACGAATTAAAGAGCAGAAGGGTTTCGAAATGAGATCGACCTTAATTTTTCAACATTCTAAAATGTTTAAAACCCTTTTGGAACACCAACACAGCGAAATATGGAGAATGGATTTGAGAATGATTTACGAGTTTCGTTCCCCTCTCCCCCCTCCACTGTCATAGGGGAATCATCTTCAGGTCAGTGCACTTTGACAAAGCATTGTAAAAAGGAATGTTTTCATTTTGACCTTATGTATTGTGTGCATCTTCTTATTTCATTTTCTCTAGTGTCATCCTCTTTTTTAAATTTTCATAGTAAAGGAAATCAGGGAAATGCATAAATAACTTGTGTTGAAATTAGCGGGCATACTTATTTTGGACTCGAGAAATACATTCTATTGCAATGCTGCAAGCTGACAAGAATGCAAAAGTACTAACATGTGTTTATTATTAGAATCAATATATGGTTGTGTAAATTTAATTGTAATAGAGTTTAAATTGATATTGGGTTCAAAGAGACGACTCAGGTTTTGAGCGGTGAGTCAATTAGTGCATAGACAACCAACTATATATATGATTAGTGATGGGATTTAATGAGACGATTCCTTTATTTTCACCAAAGTTAATATAACTGATACTACTTAGTATTGATTACATGAGTAAGATAAATTATGTCGGTTCATTAAGCCTTGGGTAGCCTTGGCATTGGTCTCTATGTGACGAAACACTGGATTTGACAATAATTGGTCCCCGCTAACTGGTTCAGATCAGCCTACCCTAAACTGACTCTCTCAATATTAACTGTGATAACATATTCCAATCAATATTGTTTTATTCACTGGTTCACAATGAAAGAATGACAAAATGTTTCATAAATATTACTCATAAAATTGTGAGTTCATAAGTTAAGAAAAAATAGTTATCGAATAGTGACCCAAGCATACGAGTAGCCAATAAAGCGATTGAATGCTGGCAATTGGATTTTACTCGACTGAGGGATTCGCTTTGGTGTGCCATCAGGGAATTGGTGACGACAGAGGGTGCTTCATGAAGACAAATAGAAACAATATACAGAAATTGAGTATACAGTATTGTGTGTAGTTTTCAGTGTACCGGTCACAAAAACTACATTTATTTCAACGCCAATCCTACATTTTCATCTAGAGCTACGCAATTTGGGGCCAAACTTTCCAAGATGAGATTTATGTGTTTCCCTGTATTTTTCAGTGCGCTGACCTCTATATTGACCTCTAAATTGTCCCCGACCCAAAATTTAACCGATTTTTGGTTAAATTTTTTAAAATTAATTGTACAGTGATTCTTGCAGTTTTTTGAGTGCTGATAACGAAAATCACTCCCATTTTAACACCAGACCTATGTTTTCATCCCATATTAGGTCATTTTGGACCAAAAATTTCAAGTCAAGTTTTATATTGTTTCCTGCAGTTTTTGGTGTGCTGAACTCAAAAATGACTTCCAAAATTTTCCCAGACTCACATTGAACCGAATTTTGACCAATTTTAGACCAAAATTTTTATATCAAGTTAGACATTGATCCCAGCAGTTTCTTGTGTGCTGATAACGAAAATCACTTTCATTTCGACTCCAGACTAATATTTTCATCCTAAATTAGGTCATTTTGGACCAAAATTTTCATGTCGAGTTTTATATTGTTTCCTGCAGTTTTTGGTGTGCTGAACTCAAAAATGACCTTCAAACTTTTCCTAGACTCACATTTAACCGAATTTTGACCAATTTTGGACCAAAATTTTTAAATGGAGTTTGACACTGATCCTAGCAGTTTTTGGTGTTCTGATAACGAAAATCACTTCCATTTGAACCCCTGGTCTAAAGTTTACTGAATATGAGCCCTTAAGATGGACATTTCATCTACTCAATCAAAGTCCAAAGTGCACAAACTATGTCAATTCGCATCGCTCAGCCACACTACGCGCCCAGACTAAACGGCGCGTACCCCTAGTTTTTAACAGGTGCGTTCCTTATTGCCACTTACTCCGCAAAGCGTAGAATGAAAACCGTTCACAAAACTCGTTGACGATTATTAAAAATACGGCTCGTGGGTATCTGATCTTTCCCGGCGTGGAGTCTTGGTCCTGTGGAGAGAGTTCGGCAGCTAAATGAATCGTGTCAGGAAAGGAAACAGCGAAATTCTCATTGCCTCGCGCGCGCCCGAAATTGGTGGCAAAATGAAATCCATAACGAGACAATATTCTTTCCCCGTACAAATACTAGGCTTCTTTGGTTTGAGCTTAGTGACCAAAACGATAGTTGGCTCGAGCCAACTCGAGAAGCAGTCTGAATTTTTAAACATCGAGTTTTTAAAAATAATAATGTTTTATTCGGTAGTTTATCATCCCGGAGATGGATTAGGAACTGCCCAAAATTGAAACGTGTACTCACGTCCCGCGCCAACTCTTCCGCATTTCTTTCCGCCATATTGGTATGCTGTTGAGGTAGTTTGAACTTCCTACTACCTTGGAAGTTTGAAGCAGTGAGCGGCGGCAGAACTTTTAATGGAGTTGGTAGCTGTCTAAGTACGTTTCTTCATTCTGACCTCTAAACCACTCGGTTGCTCAATCTGAGGGTCCAATAAAACTTTCAGCAAGTGTTGTCTTGATTGAGGAAGACTCATTCGGAAAACCCGTCAACCAACATGTATGTATAAATAAATGGGCGCATACGTTAACTACGATGACACTTCCTCATAGTAAAAACCATTACACTAAGGAGCAGTGTGTCCATTAAATAAACAAAAAAGTTGGGTGCTCACAGTCCGATGAGCTAACCCTCAAATGAGCACTAAAAAAAACGGTTTGCAGAGAACCGATGCCATTCACTGTCTCAACGAACACACAGTATCTAGAGACAGTGTCTGGCAAGAACTGACGCAGATGCCGTAACTTGGTTGGTACGGCTTCAGATTATTCAGATTAGGAGACAACGCAGCAATAGTCGTATCATGCACACTCTGTTGCTGCATGCCAATGCGATAAAACGATCGCCGTAAGCTTTTGCCGCGCGGATAAAAACCTGGATTGAAAACGATTTAAACGGCAACGTGCAAGAAGAGCTTCGAACGTAAGAATCGGCACAGAATGCGAACCAAGGGGAAAGTGGCGCTTAAGTCACACTTCCAAATTTTTCCAAAGATTAGATTGTAGAACTGTGTGGCCAATTAGATAGTACGTAGAAGAAAGTGGAAACATGCTCGATTGCAATCGAGAGTTGCCAGAGATCAGAAACGATCGGGTGGTCACTACCCGACGGGAGAAGTGCTGGGTGCACGTGCACACTCGGCACGTTGCTGACTTTTTTCTCACTATTTACGTATTCGTATAAGCAACAAAAATTCTTATCATTTTTTAAGTAAGAATGACTAATTTCCGGTGTTCATCTCTCCGTTGTCCGAGCGGCCAACGCCACATCAGGACGGCATGGTCAAAGCCTCAAAGGTCACCGTTGGGTCTCAAGGAGAAAAGGGGGTTGACCTAGAATTTGTTTCTATTCTTGATTAGAGTAGATCTTGATGAGACCTTTTCAATGAATGGGCGGAACCTAGGTAATGCTCGCATCGTCATCGGGGACCCTGTGAGGTGCCCGTCGACGTCCTCGGGGACCCACGGTGACCTATGAGGCTTTGACCATGCCGGCCCGATGCGGCTTTGGCCGCTCGGACAACGGAGAGATGAGCATAAAAAACAACAGCGATCCCCGTCTTTCAAAAGACGGAAAGCTAATTTTTGGCCGATTCACATCCAAACGAATGTGACACAAGACACAATGCTCAAACGAACGTGACACTTTGTCACGTTTCAACGTGACGTCACGTACTTGGAATGAGAGTGTGCAGTTGTTCCGTACACCTGACCTGGAGGTACGGTCTAGCCGTACCTTTTTCCTTGACATGTACGGCTTTTTTAACAGTGCACGTGTCAAAATGGTCCTGCACTACCTGGAAATGGCGTAAAGTACAGCTCGTTTGCCTCTTAAGTGCATTCCCGCTCGAGATTACTGCTTTCACCTTATCGAAAGGTGCCATTGACCTACATTGTTCTACGAGGGTCAGTGGGCACTCAGGCACAGCTGCAAGTAGGTTATCAAGACAAACCTCACTGTGAAACGAAAAGTAAAAAGAGCCTACAACTTATTTACTAGCCAGGGGAAGGCCTTCGGCCTCGATGCTGAGCTGGATTCTGCTGGAGATGGAAATGCATTTTCATCAGTAGTAAATTTGGATGTGTTTATTTTGAAAATGAGCCTCTTTTCTTTTTGGGGGGTGATAGCCAGGAAGTATGCTTTTGCGCGAAGGATTGTGATTCGGCAATGGTTGGTTTCTCCTTGAATCGACGGAAGGCTATTTAATAATCTAAAACTAAATGTTCCAACCAATCCTAACCTAACCTAACGGGCTCGTGACAGATCTTACTCTACTCGCGACAGATCTTACCCTACTCTCGACAGATTTTATTCTCAAACTAAATGGTCCAACCAAACCTAACCTAACCTAACGGGCTCGTGACAGATCTTTCTCTACTCGTGACAGATCTTTCCCTACTCTCGACCGATCTTATTCTCAAACTAAATGATCCAACCAATCCTAACCTAACCTAACGGGCTCGTGACAGATCTTACTCTACTCGTGACAGATCTTACCCTACTCTCGACAGATCTTATTCTCAAACTAAATGGTCCAACCAATCCTAACCTAACCTAACGGGCTCGTGACAGATCTTCCTCTACTCGCGAAAGATCATACCCTACTTGCGACTGATCTTATTCTCAAACTAAATGGCCTATGAAGCTTGGCGTACGACTATGGAGCTTGGACTATTGAGCTTGGACTATAGAATATGGACTATGGAGCTTAGACTATCGAGTTTGGACTATGGAGCTTGGACTATGGAGCTTGATCTATAGAGTTTGGACTATGGAGCTTGGACTATAGAGCTTGGACTATGGAGCTTCGACTATACGCATATGAATATAGTAAAAATAAACAGAGGAAGATACCTCTTGAAAACTAAAGGTATCAGGGGGGGGGGGGGGGGTCGGACAAATGAGCTATTCAAAATCCCAAACAGGGTGCTTCGCTTCGCTCAGCAACAATCACGTGGATGAAAAGTGGTCGATATTTAAGAAAAAGTACTTCCGCGCGCACGCACACTCGCTGAGAACGGGTACAGCAGGAATTCTTCTCCATTAGCAGAAAGGATTGCATTCAGACCAATTATTTTGCAGCTTGCTACAAAAATCGTCACGAACTTCTTTAGCAGATGATACGTTCACGTGCTGAGAGTATCCGAGTTTCCTACTAGCCAGCACGGAAAAAAGGAATTCGTTGACCCAACGAAAATGTACGTTGATTCCGTGATAACCGAAAATAATTTGTTTGAGTAACAAAAAGTTTGTTCGCGTAACGAATAATTTGTTGGTCTGACGAACAATTCGTTGGCGGAGCAAGAAAGTTAGTTTGAGTGACAAAATCATCACTTTGTTCCTTTGACGGATATTTTGGTTGCGTAACAGATTGTTAGTTTTGCCAACAAAAATTTTGTTACTCAAACAAAGGTTTCGTAACTCCAGCAAATTTTTTCGGTTATCACGGAATCAACGCACATTTTCGTTGGGTCAACGAATTCCTTTTTGGCCCGTCCCGTTTATTTTTTGTAAAAAAAATGACGGAGGGACGGGCATATAGTATGATCCCTGCTGTGCGTCCGTTCGTCCGTCCGTCCTGTCCGTCCGTCCGTCCGTCCGAGGACTTCCCGTGGTCCGATCTTGACCATATTTGGTATGCAGCCTCCTTGGGTGACCCTAAGAACCGCCCGGTGGCAGCAAATCCGATCCGAGCCCCAGGGGCGCTGCTGCAGGTGCATCATGGTCTACATGGGGTCGAGGAGGATCTCGGCAACGGATGCAGCTAGGAGGGCATGTAGGGGTATTTTTGGAATCGGGGCGACGAGAGAAAACCAATGGTGCCAGTTTCGAGCGAATCGGAGAAGTTCGGACCCGGGTTCAAATCCCAGCGGGGTATTTTTTGAACATTCTTTTTATTCGAGTTTTTGAATTGTTTCTGATGTTTTTGAGGGGGCTGATGACGAAAACGACATTTATTTTAACCCCAGACTCGGGTTTAATTCCCGTCAGGGAGGCGAAATTCGTACGTTTCTTAATGTACGGGACGGGCCAAAGTTGCCGATGAATATCGCTACTTTTCCTGTTATTTCCGTTAGGCAGCAGTTGCATCGTTGCCTGACTAGCAAGCCTAGAGGAGGGGCGCCTGCGGGGGCTCGGGTTGCGCGCGCGGCGTATAACCTCGACATCCAGCTATCTAGTACTCATGCACTCTCAGACCTTCACTGATTATTTTTTCTATATTGTAGATAATTTACTCTACGGCTTACTGATTTTAGAGCGTTACTATGATATAGTAAATATTTTCATTAACATATCGAATAAATTTTACATGAGACCCAGATAAATTAGCGGTAACAAATTTGGTAATTATAGACAATCTTTTACTTACTTACAGAAAATTTACAATATCAGTAGAAATATGATGACAAATTTGTTTATAATCAAAGAATTTATTTTCTGCAAATGTAGAAGATAAAGTTTGTGCTCATAAACAATTTGTCGATGACTACTTTGTGATCTTCAGTAAATATTTTCAGTGAAATTTTTCTCCGTTCAAACAAAGCTGATTGGAAGGTAATGCGCTTAGTCAAAATGATCCTACAAAACATTCTTAGCTTCGACAAGTCAAGAAAGGACTCAATGTAAGCGGCTTTTAAGAGATGGTTGAATTGTGACTTTTAGCGGAAACATCCAAAAAGTTATTCTGACTCTTTAAAATCTTTTCTGTTAATTCTTGTATATATTATCTGTATGAAGAGAACATTTTGCCTACATTTATAGATCATTTTTACTAGAATGGAACAGTAATTTTTTTCTGCTTGATCATAACTGTAGTTGCAGAAAATATTATCAACAGACAACTTTTCTGTAAGGTTGCTGATTATTTTTTCTGTACTTACAATCAAAAGGACTACGATTGCAGAAAAAATAATTAAACTGTAGGTTTACTGAAAAAAATGTCCGTGGAGTGTCGGAGAGTGGCATGAAGTGCGTCCCGCCTTTGCGGGCTGCCGCTCCCCTTCCCCTTCCTCTCGTCGCGAGACGCTGCTAGCACGCATCGCGCAGCTGCCCCCCGCGCCCCTTCCTCTGCCGAGACGCCATACCCCGCAACAGTCCACACACACACACACACACACACACACACACACACACACACACTCACTTCACACTAAATGTCATGGGACTTTTCTTTGTCCCATGAATGATGCAATTTTAAGCACATCCGGTGGTGATGCAATTTTGAGTCCGCCAGGCGGTACAAATTGTCTAGTAAAAGTACAATTTGCAGCAGGCGACGGACAAAATGTGTCACCAGACGAGAACAACATTGTATCAGCGTCGGATGTGCTTAAAATTGCATAAATCGTGGGACATAAAAAGTACCATGACATTTAGTGTGTTGAACCTTGAGTGCGTAGAACGCATAGTGCAGCGCCCCCCTGAACCCCTGCCCCTCTCGAGAAGCGGCGCGCCGGCACACAGTGGGGCGAAAACGGAAAAAGTCGCACGAAATTATTTTCTTCACCAAATTTTGTGTATAGTGTATTTAGGGGTCGCTGAATTCATTTCTGACGAGATTTGAACGTGAAAGGCACCCTAAGAGGCGGAGCCAGGTGCGTGAAGGGGGGTAAAACGAACCTTATTGCTGAATTCTCGCAAAACTTTGGATTTGAGGGTTTCATTGGTAGTGAAAATCATTTCTGAGGAGATAAGAAGACAAAAGATATACC